TCTCTCTCTCTCTCTCTCTCTCTCTCTCTCTCTCTCTCTCTCTCTCTCTCTCTCTCTCTCTCTCTCTCTCTCTCTCTCTCTCTCTCCATCTACAATTGCGAGCATGATACTTGTCACTTTCTCTCCATGTCAATTCTCTCATCGTAATGATGGGGAACGAATTGGGGATCGTGTATGAGCATTTGTGTGTTAGACCCATTTTGACAGAAGTTCAACAAGGCAGTGAACCCTTCTGCTGTTACCCCACCCTGTGTGGGTTCAAGTCTGTAATGAAGCGGCGGGAGGAAGTTGCAGTTCGTCAATCAGTGTCTGTAAAGAGAGAGAAGGGGCAGCTGGAAGGTGCTCGTGCCAGAATTGCAGTTATCAAAGGAGCAGAGCCAATATTTTGGGCAGGCGGTACATAAATATGGTGAATAATAAGTTGTCTTGAAGGTTGGCTGTATTTTTCTCGTAGAGCAGAGGCTGTAGCGAGAGAGGAGTTTTGAATAAGTGATTGCAAAGAAAGTGCTTGCACATATGTCTACATTTATCCGTATTGATGGGAATTCATTGGCTTTTCACGATCAGGGGATAGATTTCCGGCTTCGTCCTCCTAGTTTATTACTTGATGCGGCTTCATGTTCAGTGAAAAGACATGGTTCAGAGGGGATACACATATGAAAGGGATGCCAGCACACGGACGAGAAGGTAAGATGACAAGAAAGACCCCGCTAGTTTGAGACATGGGAAGATAGGGTGAGGAGGAATACCACAAATTCGGTGCCAATGGCTTCCTCTCCCTCTGTCTCCTTAGCTATTGTCTGGCTGCCACACCCCTTGTTATTAGAGTTGTGCAGTGCGAGTGGGCTGGTGTGCTTATGACATCCGATGGCCACACACCTCGGTTAAATTCCCTTGCCTGCATCAATACGGGTCTAGCCGAAGCTAATCAACAGTGTGCCCTTCAAATCGTTACGCAGTAAGTGGAGAGAGAGAGAGCTTCTTCTTCTTCTTTTTCTTCTTCCTCTTTTCTTCTTGCTTGTGCCAACACTTGCAGCTCTCTCTCACCTGTGTTTCTTTCATCTAAGATTGCTGCCCATCTGTCTGCCCCTCTCTCTCTCTCTTGTGTGTGTGTTATTTCCCTCCTCTGAAAATCAGTTGCCACACAAACGCACTGGAACACAGAAACACAGATGCCTTCCTGCCTTGCTGCCTACTATGCATCCTACCTACCCACGTACATACTTACCTACCTGTCTGCCTACTTACCTCACTACTGAAACACACAAACACATGCACACACTAACATACAGACACGTTTGAGTGTATCGGTAGGGAGGTAAGTAGGCAGGTGGGTAGCTATGTACATACATTGACTGGCAGGATGGATGGTAGGCAGGTAAGTGTGCTTATGCGCTAACTGATTTTCAAGGGAGGTAAGTAACACGCTATCAAGCACACAAGAGAGAGAGAGAGAGAGAGAGAGAGAGAGAGAGAGAGAGAGAGAGAGAGAGAGAGAGAGAGGGAAGTACAACATGTATAAGTGTTTGCTGAATATTAGGGATGGTCATTGCCAGCCTCTGCCATGACTTCATTGCGGTTTCCCGATAGGAAATCCATGGATCAAAGAGAGCTTCTTCCCATGGCGTTTCACCTTTCATTGCATCCTTTCTTTCTCAATGCCAAGCCATCCACCCAATGCCCTATTTTTGATATAGCAGGCCCCTTCGCTACTTCTCGCTTTTGTTTTATATCATATCATAGACTGATAAAGCCTAACTCAACAAAAAAAAAAACACTGCGCGTAAATCAATGAAAGTGGGAAGAGGAAAGATCGCATACAGTGGAGTTTCCTATTTCTAGTCACCTATCTACGGACTTGACTCAGTAACGCATTGTTTTGCACTGATCCCCCCAAACCCCGTATCACTTGCCTGATAAGTCATTGTGGCCCGCACATGCGATGCTTGAATAATTGTGAACATGACCCAGCTGTCATCCCGGCATGTCAGCATGGGATGTATCGTTAATGACGTTATGGAGAGTATGTCTCTACTGTGTGGACTATCCCTTATGCCATCGCCCACCCCTCCTTTCATTTTCCGAATGTAATGTTGGGTATCCTCGAGCTGCACCTGTAAATGGACCCCCTCCATCCTTGATAGATGAGGAGCAGATGCAGCACCCTGAGGTGGAGAATAGGCTCTCACAGTAACCACCAACAGTGGGCTGTACTTAAAGGCTATTGCTGCTGTGGCGAGCGGTTGCAGACCAGATCTTGCAACAGCTCAATGCCCTTACTGTGGCCCTCATCGATTTCCATAGAGAAGGAACATCAGCTGTGGAACCCCGAGAGACTTGTTGAATGCTGCACTACGATGGCCCACCTGAACTTCGGTGAGCATGTGATGGGCATGCTTACACAATTGTGGTTGGCGTGTCTCTGAGCATGCGGTAGCCATTTTACCAATTACATCTGTCTACACCAGGCCATTCAATGCAGCAACTGGAACCGAACTGGATGTGGTGTTTCCACAGTCAGCGCCGGAACCGGTCCTGTCCGGTCTGCAGGGGTGGCCATTTATCATTATTCCCCCCCGTATCTCGCTCCCCTTCCCTTTCTCCCTCCTCCCACCCCCGGCAGAAATACTCAAGGCACAGCAATGAGCATCATGAGGAGAAGCAGACCATCGTAACAAGCATACCCCTCCTCCTTTCTCTGCCTCCTTTTCGTAGCATGCAAGTGGGCTGTTATGACAGACGGGGATGTGGGCATGTTACATGCCCAGTTGGGCGATATATATATATATATATATATATTTGACGATATATATATATATGTGTGCCCGTTTTTTGCTTTTATTCTTTGTTCCGCAAAGTGCGCTCTTTTAGTTTGTAGTGATGTGACAATATATAGATATGTGAAACTCCGACGAAACAGTTTGTCACAGCCCCTCGTTTGTTGTCCTCTTCTCTCTCTCTGCCTACGGTTTACCGGGCAGTTCTGTTTGTGACGATATATATACCGTCACAAACAAACACCCTTCACTCTGCCTCTCTCACAGCGTGCAAGTGGACTGTTATGGCATACGGGGATGGGGGCAGCTCGCGCTCAACTTCATCAACGTGGCGAGCCTTGCACGTGAGAGGCACAGTGGAGGTGGAGTTCAAAGAAGAATGAGAAATTTAATGGTTCCAATCTGCCCTTGTTTTTTATTTTTGTTTTTATTTTTATTTTTGCATGTTATCACTATGCCCGTTTTTTGCTTTTATTCTTTGTTCCGCAAAGTGCGCTCTTTTAGTTTGTAATTATGTGACAATATATATATATATATAGCCAAGGATCCGCAATGTGATGAAAAGGACTGAATGGACAATGCAGTGCTAGTGGAATCTCCACAAGCAATGTACATCCTTATACATACAAAATGGTGCTTTGTAGCGCAGTGGAAGACTTAGATATAAGTCCTGACCTGACCGTGACTGATCTCCCTCACGTAGTGCTAGAATACCAATGACTAGCCCAATGAATGTCGCAATACAGACCAGACATACATCATCCTCATCACAAGGTGTGGAGGGGGGCCTGGTTCTACACACAGGAAGAATGCGCCAGGTCCAGACCATACACAGATGAAGAGGAGGGGATCAGACGAGGAAGAAGGGGAAGATCGGAATGTCGTCAACACCAAGTCTTCGTTACAAGTCCCAGATAATCCCTCGTCACATGTCTGAAGCCCAATGTCGAGTCTGGATCCAAATGTCACCAAGCCCGCTCTCTCGTAGTCTGCTGATGCAGTGAACTCAGGTAGCGAGAGGCCGAGAGGGAGATGGTGGACTGAGAAGAGGAAGAAGAAGACCTCTCTCTCTCTCGTGTGCCAGGTACTAACCTGTGAAGATGGCGCTGTGCTGCAGGTACCTCGGCGACGAGCTGGAGCTATGACGCTGCAGGTACGTCTCCCTGGCCTCCGCCCAATCTCTCTCTCTCTCCAGTACTACTCTAGCTCCTACTAGCGCCCAGCGCTTAAGACTACTGCTAACGCTACTACTATTACTGCAGCGCTCCTCCAGCCAGAGTGCTGCTGCTGAATCCTGAAGACTACCTCCTGCCTCCTGAACTGCACGTGAAGTGCCTGGGATGTCCCTATGAACTACCTGCAGCCTGCCGGGGGGCCAGTCTTATATAGTGCTGGCCCGTCCAGGAGGCTGCTCTTGCCAATGCCAAAACGTGCCAGACCCTGGGGTTGAAGCTCAAACAAAGGTTGTCTTGAAAATAGACCAAAAATGGCCTGAGCTAAAACCCTGGTCTGGTGCCTACGTTTCAGGCCAGGTCAATCTTATGAGGGGCTGAAAATGGCCCTCCGTTTCAGGCTGAAAAGACTCAGGGCCTGGAGGGCCCTGTTTTAGGCTGAAACGACACAGGGCCTGTAGGCCCTTGTTTT